AAGGAATTTTATTGACTCTTTTAAGTCAGTAGAATATCATTTACAATTCTCTGTCCTCTAGTTATTAAATAAGGAAAGGTCTTGTTCCAAATACATGCACAGTAAGAGGAAATAAGATGAAATCTTCCAAAACAGACAGGTTGTGGAATTTCCATGTGCTCAAGTGCTCCCCCGAAATATTTATAGTCAGTTATTAAATAACCACTTTTAGGTAATATTTTGCTTACTTCAGGATGCTGTCATACCATCATCTATTTGGTATCTCTGTAGTTTTGAGTTATGTATCCTTTAGACTCTCACGTTTTCTGCCCAGAGTGGCAGGAGATAAAGCAGAGGAAATATGATTCATGTTAGATTACTTATTCTGATAAAGGTTTGGTAGAGGATAAGTCGAGCTACTCACATTTTCATATTTGTCTTGGATAAACACTAACAATCACAATGGTAATTATGAAAAAATACTTGTGAAGAAACTATCTTCTGATCAGATCCATGCATATTTGAGGCACTCCTGTTTTTGGCTGTTTAAAATTCTCTTTTGCTTTTCTTTATAAAGCTATTTATTTTTCTATACTTTTTATGTTTTTATTTTTTGTAGGGTCATGTTTTGTTCCAAAGGACTTAGATGCAGAGCAAAAAATGCATTTCAAAGTATTAATCAGACATTAAAAACTCAACTCTTTGTGTGGTGGAGGGAGAAGATTAAATTCTTCATAATGTTATTAAAAAACTCTCTTACTGATTTATTTCATCAGGTTAGAAATCTATGCATGAATGAGCTACAACATGAGAAACTAATTCTCATAGTATTGGCATGTTTAACACTTTTAGGGGTAGTTACTTTATTTGGAAATAAAACCTGTAGGACATTACCGAACACACTTATTTGTTTGCATAGACATATTTTTAGTTCAAAATACCCTAAAATCTGCTTTTAAATGCTTCAAAAATATTTCTTAAACCACGACTCTCATTCTATCTCTGCTCTGCTTAAAAATTTTCATTGACTCTTCACTGCCTCCTAGTTAAGTATAAGCTTCTCAACTTTTTTGGCCACCTCCCTCCCCCACTTTCCCCCACACTCACATATACAACATACCTTATTATCACTTTATTCCAGCTCCGGCCCCATCCAAGGAAATCTTGCTCATCTTGCTAGGTCCTTCTCACATGCTGAAACCTTTCCTGCTTTCCCCCACTTAAGTGTGGTCTCCTCTCTGTTCCCACATTGGATGTCATTCATTTCCCTCTAAGCACTTGTCATTTGGCATATTCTGCATCCTACCATGGCCATTTCTGTAATCACCTTAACTGCCCAATTAAGAATACGGGTTCCTTAAAAACAGATCCTGATTCTTAGTATTACCTATGAAAGAAGACACAATGTTTGACATCTACTAGGTACCAAGCAAATATTTGTTGAATTAAGTAGAATTCAAAATGAGTATGTATGTATGCCCTGATCACAAACTAGTTTACACTAACCACTTTTTTACAACAAAATTCATAGTTTCCCCATCTTCTTGGAAAACCTGTGATCCAACACTGCATTTTGATTACCATCCAATTATCACATGAAATGAAGGCTGATACTCACCAAACATGATGCTGACAAAATGAAAAATACAAAAATATTATTTGGAAATCTGAGCAGCTTTTAAGTTTTCAACTTTTGCCTTTCTTCTATGAAGAGGCATCTTTAATCTTGCTATTGAGAGGTCCCATATATTCAGAAAAAAAGCAGATCAAAGATCTGAAAGATACATTTTAAAAGCTGTGCAGTTATCTTCACCTCTGAGACTTCCATCCTCCAAACAAATCATTAGCTCAGAGAGCAGGCAATATTCTTTTAAGCAGAGGAACATGACCCCCTAAGGGAATAGAGCAGTGAGAGCACTCAGGTCTCC